GACGACGCGTAGGTATTTGACTTTATTTACCCATGGTACTGGGCTGTCCATGAGTTTAACGGGAGGTGGATTAGGTACATTCTTTTTATATGTGAAAAGGACAACCGCGCTTTTGGCGAGATTGATCTCGATGCTCCATTGACGAAACCAGTCACCGATGGTGATGGCCGCAGCTTGAAGGCGTCGATGGATTAATTCTGGTGTTCTGCCTGTGGTAAACAGGTGTCGTCGGCAAAAAGGGCAAGTTCTCCATCTTTGACACGCGGCATGTCATTAATGTAGAGCGTGAACAAGACTGGGCCCAACAACGACCCTTGGGCCACCACGAGAGCGTGTGGCCAACACACGCTCTCGACGCGACAGCGAAAGGTCTGATTGCTTAGGAAGTCTCGTATTATGCATACGAGACGGTCGGGCAAGGTCGTACTTGTTCTGCAGACGAGTCTTCCTATCGTGCAGATGTGTAGAACTTGTTGCATGGCTTTACCGCCTAAATAAAATAAAACTGTAAATTTTCGACCCAAACAGAGCAAAAAGCGAGAATAAAATTATTTAAAAGTGCTTAAAAGTCGTAAAGTATAGTAACATTTAATATTTTGAAAAAATAAACTACTTAAAAAGACCCAGCACCGAGTGTATGTCTCCTCCCTAAGGATTTAAAAAGGTTTAAAAAGGACTTTAGTTGAATCTCTTAATACCAACATCATCTAACATTTTTGTAGTATAGATTCCAACTGGTTGTCGTATTGATTGAAACGCCATATCGTATCTCGCGGAAAAGATAAACTGCAGTGCTCATAACGTATCGATAATCGATGTAATCGCCTGTCCGAAGTCCTCTCTCTTATTAATTCCAAAAACCGAGTGATTGATCAGCTTTGCGAAAGGTCATAGAAAATAAAAGTTCCCGATTTGTAGCTTAACGATAACATGTTTGTTCACGTAAAACCTAAATGATTTATCATTTAATGTATGCATACAATCTACAACTTTGTTTATTTACTGTTACGATTACTCTATTGTCGTTTTGACTGACAACGCCTTATCTTGACAGTTTTGGGAGATGTTCTTAGTTTCCTTTTAAATTGTTATCTAGCATAAAAGAAGATTCTTATGAAATTCGGCCTCTTAAACGGGCTGCAGTGAGTTAGTAGGTATTTCAGTGAACAACCCTATAGTCCCGGGCTCATAGAATAGGGCTAAGGCTGCCTGTCGCAAAAGGCGACTAAAAGGGGACACGGATGGGCAGCAGCACGAAGTGGTCTCGTGCTGCTTCTAGAGGATGGGGGAATCGGAGAAGGTTTATCCTTCTCCAAGGCGTGCTCAGGCGTAGTACCGAGGGACACCGGTGCGTTCCATGGGAGATCCCGGAGTCCCTCCAAATGTACGGAAGGTGGCCACCGAGGGGGTTTTAGTGGGTAAGAACCCCACATAACCCTGTCATATAAAGTGACAGTGTGGGGACAAGTGGGGTATATGAAGAAAAGGAAAAGTGTAAAGTGAAATTAAAAAAATGTAAAGTGAAAAAAAAAGTCACTGAAAGTGAGATGAAGTCAAGTGAATATTAGACTACCGCAGTGGGGCCACGGACTATGCCCTAATACCCTTTGTACAGAGGAGAACATGTATAGGCTGTTACTGTTGCAACACCGCAACCTAAAAGTAAAATGCCCTTAAGGCAAAAATTATTATTATATAAGACCTGCGTACGACCTATTATGTCCTACGCATGCATGACCTTCGCCCACACGCACCCTACTCGCTTGTACAAGCTGCAAATAGTAGAAATAAGTTCATCCGCCGTGCAACCGGTGCGCAGTCGGTATCAACGCAACGTCGATCTGCACAGCGATTGCAGACTCCCGACGATTCGCGAATATTTTAAAGACCTGACCAAACGGTTCTTCGATAGAGCCGAACATCATCCCAACCCTCTGGTGGTAAGCGCAGCAAATTACCAACCCGACACAAACGCGAACGTCAACAAGCGTCGCCCGCGAAACGTCCTAATTGACCCGGTCGAGGAAGGGGACTTAGATACGCCGGACCCACCGCCGGGGGTCCCGCCGGATAGCACTATACCCACAGCTAGTGTAACAACAAACACAATAGTTCGCCCTCGCCTCCGAGCACGGCGAGACCAACACAACGCGTACACAAGGTACACCCGCGTTCCAGGGCGGTTCTCACCGGCCCCAGCCACCGATTAGCTAAAAACAAAGTCGACGGCCATCGGGGTCTCGGTCCGCACCGCAACTTCGATGGCCCTTAGATGACATGTCGTAGTTAAACGCACGCATGAGCACATGCGCGGCCCTACCCACAGCGGAGGGCCCAAACCCGTGGGTTCTGGCTAGCCCATCGGTTCTGCGTCAGATGAAGCTTTAATAGTCTCGGGACTGAAAGCAAAAAAATCAGTTAATACAAGATACAACACCGCAACCCATAGCTCGTAACATCTATGAAAAAAAATTAGGGTTGATCCTATATTATTTTTTTATTTAATAAATAAATATTAAACAAAGAAGTTTCATACTTCACCATTTTCTCTTTTGACCTTTCAAAATATATGAGCGTTTCCTCGTTTTTTAAACCAAGTACAAAAGAAATGTTATCTTTAAGCTTCCGTATATTTCCGTAGCCTGAAGGAAATGCGCCCGCAGATACATTAACTTGAAGAGATTTACGAAGTACGCCTGGTAAACATAATTTTTTTATTTTTTCGTTTAGGACTTTTATTAAAAAAATATCATCAAACAAAGCTTCTTTCAACTGGCTTAGTTATGATTTGAATAACATCCACAACCATTTAAATATTTTACGATTCATTCGCGCTAACATTTCCAGTTCGAAAGGGATAGAACGACGAAGCCTTTTGTAATTTACTGAATGAAAAGAAAATTATTATTTGGTAGTGTCCGTAATCTCTTAGCCTTGTTATCGAAAGACTTCGTAATCGAAAGCGGTTGTTGTACTTCATGCATATGTAGAAATATAAGTAATAGAAGTTCTTGTATATGTAGAAGTAGTATAAGTAAGAATAACGAAAAACAAAGGCCTATTATGGCATTACATAGGATTTAAACATGGACATTTCATCAGGATTTTTTTCTTAAGCATTCGACCACGTATGTATGTCTCAGTACAGCTGTGTCATTAGTGCTTTACTTTTGATTTGACCTCCGTCCGAAATCCTAAGCCCCCTAAACTCGGAAGAAAGAAGTACTGGATAACTAGAAATAAATAATGGCACTTTTGCTAGCTTTCAGTCATGATAGCTCAGTGTCCGGGCGCTCGGTTTTAATTCAATATACTCAAGAAACCTAAGTTCAAAATGCAAAAATTCATATGCATTTTTCACTTCAAATGTGACGTGCAGTGGAATTTCACGTGATCGTGCGAAACGTCAAAAAATAAACTTCGAAGATATGTGGACTATGCCCTAATACCTTATGTACATAGGAGGCCTTTGCCCAGCAGTGGAACGTGTATAGGCTGTTACTTTACTTTTACTTTACTAGTAGTTTGGACGGTATCCAGGAACCGCATAAGATCAATCAAAAAATGAGCAACCGAGCAGGAGGCTCACCAAAATGATCAATCACCGCCGCCCATGAAACATCTGAAACACCGAAAAGCCACAAATACGTTGCTGGACTTTCAGGAAAAAATATGCTCTCTCTTGAAGGTTCTCAGTTCGTATCGGTTCGGAAAAACCGAAGGTTGACTGGCAGAGAATGCCTAGAGGCATTAAGTCCGCCTATTGTGTTCCGTATTAAAGGAAATGCAATAAAGACTAAATAAATAAATAAAGACCGCCGGCGGCAGCTGGTTCCACAAGGTGATTGTGCAAGGCAGGAAGAAGACTTGAAGAAGTAGAGATATACTTTTGCCTTTCGTAAATTAATTGAAATAATCAAAGCTACATAAGCGTACAACATTCTAAGGGCCGGGACCATAACGATGACATGATTCATAACTGCGTTGGTCATGATTATTTATTAACATGTAAACAACTGGTGTGTTATTAAAAAAACTCTTATGGCGTTGGCGTTATGTATAAGGAGTATATAAAAACCACCTCTGGCGTTATGTATAAGCTGTACCCGTATCGTCCGCAAGGAAAAGGTGTGCCAGTAATAAATACGTATTAAAACTACCGAGATCTTTTTTTCTTCAAGCCCTTAACTAATTAATTTAGAGCAGCGGAGACCAATAAAGACACTGACTACTCTGTTTACTGCCTTTGTATAAGCGCTTTGTTCCCATACACGTTTAACTAACTTATGCTTTCTTTGCAAATATTTTCCAACTCGTGTCGTGAGAAGTTGTGGTAGGTGCAATAATTAAAATATAAGTAAAAGAAAATAGATAATAAGTAAAAGAAAAAAAATTTAAATTTACGAGTCAAAATAAATAAAACTTATACGCATAAATCGCTGGAAATAAAATAACAATGGATGCGTCAAGTATTGCTTCAAATGCTCTAAAAACAATGTAGATAAAAGACGTTAAGATTTTCGTCGGTGTGGCAATCAGCCGTTTAGCTTAGTGGCTAGAGCGTCAGGCCGCGAATGCCGAAGACGTGGGTTCGATTTCCATAGCGGCGACAATCTTTTCGTACTTTTTCTACAAATTTTATTTTTAACGCATAAATCGTATCATCATAACGCATCATTAAAAGTATTTAACTGCGGTAGGGCCATGTAGCAGTCTTTGCTGTTGCACGAATTGGCAAGCTCGTCCGAGGAAGTATCTCGACTGCACAGGAGACCAACGTGCAGTGGAATTGTTAAACTTCTGCGTTTCCGCCCCTGCAACCACACAAATGTTGAAAGAATCCATAAGCGGCGATTGTAACTTTACATCAGGTGAACAGTGAACCACCAGCTCGATCTCGCATTAAAAAAATGATGTGCCTTATAACTGACTATAACAACTACAGATATGGTGCGGTTAAATAGGATGGTCGAACATTAATCGGTCTCTGTTCAAAGCAGGCTCCGCACTGGCTGGAGCACTGCCCGCAGCGAGCCCCCGCTGACGGCGACGGAGCGGGAAGCGATCGCGGCCGTCGTGAAGCGGGCAGAGAAAGTAGACGAGGTCGAGGCTCGACGAGTCGGGCGACTGGTCGCCCGATTGGAGGGTACGTCTGCACCGTTCCAGCCTTTTGGGTTGTCATCAGAAGAAACTGTTTTCACCGATTTCATCGTCACCAATTTAAAGTTGAATTCTCGTCGTTTCGATTACTCAACAGTGGTCAGGGTTAAGGGATGGACAGAAGCTATAATGTCACTGTTAAACTTCATACACTGTTACAATTATTAGGTATTTAGTTTTATTTGTTCGTAATGGGAAATTAAATACTTAAACAAGTAGAAGTACTCTCACTTAATAGTGTATAACATAAGAAATTATTAACTTTCATTTTATTTATAAATTTTTGATTTTGCATTTGCTTCTTCCTTTGGCACTATTTCCGCAAATTCAAATATAATTCCTTGATAAGTCAAGACTTTGAGCACGAAATACTTTAGGGTTACACGAGCCATTTAGTATGAAAAGCATGACCGTCCTAAAAGGCAAGAGTGAACAGATTTTAATATTCTATTACTCTCAGGTTAAGAGTGACATCAGAACGCCAAACATCTCAGTCCCGCCCGTGACGATGAATGCTATGTGTGTATTCAAAACGTCGAGTATTTAAAATATGAGTAAAGTACGACAACACCCGAAAGTCAGTTTTATCATTTGTAACATTCGCGTCAATAAAATAAAACTGTTTACCGATACATCACCATCCACGGGGGGTTAGTACAAGTTTGTGATAAAAATTATGTAGCGGTCACGTAACAATAATTTCATGTTATTTTAATAGAATATTTGGATGTAATGTCAATTCCTATTTCATAGGAATGCGTCGCACTGCGCAAGGGCCGGCCCCTCGTTCTTGCCTGCTCTGTGGCGAGACTTCGAGGCTTTTGGCCCCATTGAGGACTTGCTCCATTTGCCGAAACACCGCCTGTCCTAAATGCGTCATCGATACACCACCACACAGGTAAATGTGTAATTTGGACACACATTATTATGTTATGGTAGATTATTATGGAAATTTCATTTAATTTGTGAATTAAATGTACATTAGCGTCCCACCACAAAATTGCCCCCTAGTAAAGATTCGACTTTCGATTCTTTCCAGATTTTTATTTCGAAAATTTATATTCGAACGTAGTTTTTGTATACCTGGCAATTGATTATTTTGCTCTGTATATTTACTAGAACAGTCAATGTTGTCCTTTTCATCACTGTACGGAATATAAATCAGGATGGTAATTTTCTGTAATAGGAGTTTCTTCCGCCACTTATTCTCCCAGCGCCAACGCTTTACGAAATGGTAGTAAAGATAGATTAGAAATAATTCCAGTCAGATAATAGCTACCGATCGAGCCGAGGTCCGGCCCTCTCGGGCACCCTCGAATCGGAATGCCAAACGCGTATTGAGTGACAGGCCAAGCCGAGGCCCCCTCTCGGGAACCCTTGAGCCTAGTCACTCTATGGAGCGTCCGCCAAAGCGCCCTAAGATCTTGGTGGCCTCCCAAAACGGTAATGATATAATAACGTGACAGCCTGAACCGAGGCTCCCTCGGGAACCCTCAAGCCACTCACTACAACGCGTATTAATAATAAATAACAGAGGTTCAGGCTAGGCGTCCAGACCGCCAGGCCACCTAAAGTCCGGCGGATCTGTAAAGGCCCCTAAGGCCAACAGTGGCACATCCAGCCAAAAAAAACGTGTTCGGGGGACTCTCTCGTCAACCGTTGTACCGAAAGCTCTACCCTAATTAATAACGATTGTGTCGGTTACTTGAACTTAAGTTAAACTTCTATTTAGTTTGGCCTACTGACCAATAAATTCTTTTTAAAAAAATCAATAATCTTTTCTATTCCTAAAAGTATTTTATATATGAGACGCATGTATTTCAGTTCACATGAAATACTTAACAATAACGTTCCATTTAATAAACAATGCAAAATTTATGCAATATTGGTTGTATAATATTCGTGTTGGAATGCTGATCGGCATCGGCATATAATCATGCATAATATTACAATATTGAGATTTTCATTTTAAGGTTTACTTGTGTCGTGGTTATTATAATGCTTAATATTGTAACGAATTATCGATTAACATTATTTAATGTTTTATATTGTTCTCTACATTATTTAATTAAAAGTAAAAGATTATACTGTAAACATCGATAATATATTAAATAAGAAAAAATTCTTATTGACAACTATAGTAAAACATTAATTTTTAGAAGTTCAGATGACGGCTCAAAATTTATTTAAATAAGAGAAAAAATGAGCAATAAGAGTTAATTAAAGGATATTTTTTTAACTCAAAGATGAAAAGGTATCAGCAAATTACCGTCTTGATCAGTTCCTTGCAGACAGTTTTTGCAGGGTGTCTTGTTCTTTGCTATAATATCTTCGTCTCTAAAACACTTGAGATATCTATCATTTACCCCATTTTTGGAGCAGGTCGCCAATTTACTCCAGAGATCAGTACATGTGTAATCTCTGCGCTGAAACGCGGGAGATGTGGAAAAAGTCTGGAGCCTGGTTCTATAGAGCCCTCCCCAAGTATATTCTGCCGGAGCGCAAGGTTACCGGGCGATACAACGACTCCGAGTTGGCCAGGTCCTTACAAGTGAGACAGGTGAGGCCTTAAATATCACTAAATTAAATATTTAATTAAAATACGTAATTAAATATAATATAGCCTTTACTGTTCTCTCTGAGTCAATACTTTTTCGAAAATCGAAGTAGTCAATTTTGAATGACACAAAAATATAGAGTGAAGACCTAAAATATAAAGTGTATTAAATTATTTGTAAATTTAAAAGCATTTTAATGAAGGGTTATCATTTTGCATAGTTTATTGAGGGTATTTTTCCCAAACATTCAAGAAAGAAAAAACATTAAATAAGTTTACGATCAAGTTTGAAAATAAGAATTCCGTGTTTTAACTTTCAAAGGGAGAGCCCTTATCAAAAATGTTCTTAATTTAAGTTGTGAATTATTATTTTTTTAATTGGCTTATTCTTTGAAGATTACTTATAGGTTCCTTAAGATTTTCCATGTTTTAACTCTTTCTTAATACATATGGTCAGACCATACGTATTGTGAAAGAATTAAAAAACGGAATGTTCAGCAGTAGACTAAAACAGTTTGAAATTATGATTATGATAAATAAAACATTTACTCTAATCTTAATTAGCTATATAAGCAAAGGGTGAAAATAACCCAATTAAGATTTCTTATGTTACTTTCTTATATCATTACTGAACTGAGCAGCTGAAACAGACATATAAGGTGCTCTTGTTTTTATTTTTGAAGTGGAAACTTCTTAAGGCGCGTTGAGCACTTTTTGGGTGAACGAAAATCGGAACTCGTGCCAATTCGTGTCATCGAACGCTTTTTATTTATTTTACTTATCATTATTATATTCATTACTTATTTAAATTAAAATAATTATTGAGTAACTATTATAACATAATAATAATTTTATTTATAAATAGATATCGTAATTATTGTTAACTAACTTAGTATTCACTTATGTCGGCAGTTCCCTACTGCCGATAGAAGTGAAAACTAAGTTAGCTTACTAAGTTAGGTTAAGACTGCCCCGTTTTTTTGTAAAAAACAATTTTTCAACGCAATTGACTCTAAAGACTTGAAGTAATGTATTATGAGATACAGCCGTCGAAACGGGAAATAACATAACAAAACGTATTCTTGGATCCAATTTCCTTGCGAAACTGGAATCACAATTGTTTTCACATTACGGTTATTTCAAAACGTCTGCTATACCTAATTCATATTATAAGATGTGCAATGTATTGTATTTGATTATAATAAATAGTTATTTGTTCTTGATTGTAATGAAATACAATATATTCCACATGTCATAAGTATTAATAATTAATAAACAATTGTTTATTTGTAAAATTTCATTAACAGAGATTTTTTAATACTTAATGAAACCTCAAAGCCTTTAGCTGAATGTCTATATTAGTGCGGTTCAAAATAATTTCTGTATTATTGCATTTTCAAAGTCAAGATGAATATATCATATTCAATTCAGACTTGTTTTTCTAAAATCTACCGTTTCTTCACTTGAACTTCCTTCACTTGATTCAGACCTGTTCATAAGTTTATTCCGTTTTTTATTTGTTCTTTAAAACAGAGCAGTTTTACATCAGTTACGAAGATTTTTTACATGTGTGAATTTGGCAAGCGAGCGGGCGGTTGACCTGATGTTAAGTTATAACCGTCGCCCATGGATATTTGCAACACCCGTAGGGTTACAGATGCGTTGCAGAAACCAACTTTTCATAAAGTGCGCCCCAGCTACCCCACTCGCCTGACGAAACAGAAGTGTAACACTTCCACTTAACACCGGTCTTCTGTGAAGTCGTGGTACTTCACCGGACGGACCTGCCCATATGTTGGGTTGTCTCAATTAAACAGGCATGTATTATACATACATGTTTGAATTACACTCAATGAGTTACACTCTTGAAGATATCAAGATAATTTGAATCCTCCAAAGTTTAGATTTGTCACGAAATTTCGCCGAGGGCATGAGAGCAATCTAAACAGTTTCAGTCAACGCGGCGTTTTAATTACCCACAAAGTAAACGGTGGGTTTCACGTCACGCGTAAATATTAAAACTGTACGTTTCGCGAATAGAGTTATATGTTTCTTTATATTTAATTATGGAAGAAACTACTAAAGGAAAAAAATATTGGCGGAAAGAGAAAAAAATGTATGGAAAACTTCTACCAATTATCTCTAGGTTTTAAAATGGTAACTTAATTTTCTTTTTCAAAATATTTGAGTGTTCTTTTATACATATATATAAGGTCTCAGGGAATTTAACTCTGCACTTAAAAATTTAATTTTCGAAACATTAAAGATTTGTAGAAACTTGAGCCGTTACAACGCAGGATTCCAGCCGTTTAACTTAGTTGTTAGAGCGTCTGCGCGTGAATCCGGAAGACAATGGGTTCGATTCCCGCAGAGGCGAAAAACTTTTCGTCCCTTTTTCTACAAATTTTATGTAATAATCTTATTAATATTGCATGTAAATTTCAACATACTGTTGTAATAAGTTTAAAATGTACCGAAGTTAGCGAAAGAGCTATGAAACATTGCACAAGTTGCGCAACTTTAAATAGTTCCCCAATATCAGGATGCTGGGAATAGCAGCAACGATGGGAAGACCGATTCTGAGCCCGGCTCACCCCTTAGTGTTCACGCGCCGAGCTTCTCGAGGCAGCCAAGCAACACCGTCAGCAGAAAATCTATCACTTCATCACAAGTAAGTTATCAGCTATATTTTTAACCAATGGATTTTTTCTTATACAGGATTTAATCTGCAAAAACCTTTTCCATACTCTATGTAGAGTTGCAGCAATCATCGTCTACGAATTTATTCATGGTAACAATATCTCTTCTTCGTTCTATCGTTCATTGTTAATTATTAGAAGCGAGAGAAAATATAACAATACGGGTAAGAAATTAACAAAATGTTTAGTCATTTGAATAAATAACTCAGTACCTTAAATTACTTTTCTTATTCCAACTAGACTTTAGTAAGCCTTCGGTATTTTTAGAATTGTCGCAATCTTTGAGACCTATTATAAGACTGAGAATGCGAAAAAGATCATGAATAAAGAACTCGATTATTGTTACGCGTCGTCTGTCGCTCAATAATTTAACAATATCAAGACGATAATCGACATCGATTGATATAAATTCGTACATCTTTAATGCTCTCAATTGATACTAGACAGTAATCACGATGACCCAAATAGACTACGCCCACGATTTTTTAACTTTATTTACTATTGTAAGTGTAGTCAATGTAGTCACTGGCGTATCAAATATTATACAGAATAATAAATTAATCCTTTATTAATTTGTAGTAAAATCATTCTCTAACAATCGTAGCTAGTCGATTATGCTAGGTGAATGTTTAGTTTAAGTTATAGATAGATGGCCTGTAGCAAATTATTTCAAACAGCCCTTAATCTCCTATGAGTTCTTAAGTATAAAGTGGTAAAAAAAGTTCAATACTCACTTCTTCAACTCGTTAAATACTTATAAGTTTCACTCAAAAAATAAGGCTCAGGCTGAGATGAGTGGGCCCGTAGTAATTGCTACTCTTGTTACCTGCTTAATCCGGCACTGGATAGTAAAGTTAGTAGTTAAACAGTTTAAAGAACATAATTGTCTTTGCATCAGCTATATCTCCACATGTTATAAAAAACTCAGTAGAATTTAGAAGCATCAAACGTGTACAAATATACTTACTCATAATGTCAAGAACTGTAGTAACATTATAAGTAACATACACAACAAGTTCTGTTTCTAGTGTGTAAAAAACCTTAAGTTAAGAGTATAATTTTGCAATAAAGGCTCATTCGTGTGTAAGATGTTATGAAAAACAAAATCCGAACCAATTACGAGAGTAATTCGCTTGTTTTATTGTGTCTTGCTATGACGCAAGAGTCATGAAACGACGCGATACGATGGTCATTCGTTTCCAAGTCAAATCCCTCGCGATATTTCTATTACGCCCGGTTTCTGAAACACTGATCACGGTAGATGTCAACTAATCAGTTGTTTTCAAATTTCATTTTAGTTGCCAAAAGGTTGGTTAAACTCTCTGAATTGACCAGAAAATCTTCATAATGATCAGAATAATCAATTCAAAGAGTTAAACCATCCTTTTGGCAACTCAAACGAAATTTGAAAAATCATTTGACAGCTGATTAGTTAACATCTACGATGATCAGTGTTTTAGAAATCGGGCATTAGACTTGTATTATAGCGAATTTTATCTGTTGATAAAGAAAACATCAAATATATCAAGTCTGAGCACCTAGAGCGAGATTCACGTTTTTGTTTGAAAATATCTATTATTATTGTTGGCATGGTATTAGCTAACTTTTAGGGTTCCGTACCCAAAGGGTAAAACGGGACCCTATTACTAAGACTCCGCAGTCTGTCTGTCTTTCTGTCTGTCCATTTGTCACCAGAAGGGCAGACAGAAAGGCAGACAGAATGTCTCATCAACCGTGATAGTTAGACAGTTGACATTTTCACAGATGATGTATTTCGGTTACCGTTATAACAACAATTAATACTAAAAAACAATAAAAAAATATACCCATACAATAGACATATTTTTTTCCTTTTACATAGATAATAATTAGCTACACGCCCCGGGTTCGCACGGGTGTAATGTATTACACATATAAACCTTCCTCCTGAATCACTCTATCTAGTAAAAAAAACCACGTCAAGATCCGTTGCGTAGTTTTAAAGATCTAAGCATACATAGGGACAGATAGACAGCGGGACATCTTTGTTTTATACTATGTAGTGATGATGGTAACGAGCCCTTCGTGGGCAAGTCCGTCTCGTAATTGGCCGGTTTTTTATGACCGGCGGTCTGTCTAACGTCAAGCCTCCTTGGGAACAAACATCCAGAACCGGAACAATTATCTGTATATCACACAAATACTGTCCCGCGTGGGAATAGACTCTGCGACCACCAGCATCGAATCCAATGACTTAGCAACTGCACCACAGACTGTGAAGCGGTAAAAAAAACATCGTGAGGAAACCCGCATATTTTTAAAATAACAAAAAAAAATATTTCGAAAAATATGTGAAGTCCGCCAATCCGCAGTGGGGCCGCGCGGTGAAATATGTCCTGATACCTTCTATACAGGGGAGGCCTTTGCCCTGCAGTGGGACATGTATAGGCTGTTACTTACTTTTTATTTGTAAATAAATTTTCTAATTATTTTAATAAATTTTCTAATTCCAATACTGGCCTAAATCTTTGGCCCGTGTTGATCTAGTATAGAAGTTACAATAAAAACGATTCATAACAAATATTTATATTCGTGTCTTCTAAATCCAAAATATGGCACTGTGATATACGAGAAGTTTAATGATTAAATTCCGTCTCGCAACATATTCTATACAAACTTTCTCGTAGACAGGCAAATGAAAATTCTTAAACGGTAAAAGGACGATTCGAATATACGGCAAATTTCAATAGAGTATGGTTTCGTTATTGACATACAGATAATAGCCATACGATAAATTGGATTATAGTAATTGCTGCTGGACTTTTTTTTTAATAAGATGGTGTTCACATTTCAAGATCTACAGATAGTTAATATATGTTTTTGATATAAGATAACGAGCCAGCTGATGTCACGTATGATTGACTATTTACATACCAAAACACTTATTCCATTGTAAAAACAGAATACGGGAACGTCACATGTTAACTATTTATTTCATGTTTCGTTAGTCATATGTTGAGATTATCCTTATTACGTAGGAGTATACCGATAAGCAAGGTTTTATAGCGCTAATATAAATATATTGGCATTAAGGACAATATCTCGTATTACATGCTGATCGAGAAGCTATTAACATTGATATTGAGGGAATATGAAATCCTTCTTACGACGTTGTCACAGAAATAAACGCATACAATATTTCTGGTACATTATATTTAAGAATAATGTAAGGTATTATCTCTATTTATTATTAAGCTTGACATGGTTTTGCAGATAATTTCTAGATTTTAAAACATCAAAATCGTTGTTTATCATAAAATTTACGTATGTATGTCAAATGAATTTTTTGTTGCGAAATAAATTGTCTGTAAATAGAAAGAAGATTCTTAAAAGAAGATTGATTCAAATTAATACATATTAGAAGTAATACGCACATATTAATACTGTACAGACGAACTAGCTTCACTTTGATAATATATTGATTTTATTTAACGATATATACCCGGTACAAATTATATCATATAAACTGTAGGGCAACGTAAAAACTGTGGTAAGGCCACGTAACAAACAGCCTTCGGTGTTTGCACGAACGGGCCAGTCCGTCCGAGTAAATATCACAACCTCACAAAAGACCGGCGTGAAGTAGAAGTGATACACTTCTTATCTTTTCGTCCGGTGAGTGAAATCATCGGAACCCACTTTATTAAAAGGTAGCAACGCATCTGCAACCCTACGGGTGTTGCACGTGTCAATGGGCGGCGGTTATCACAAAAAATTTTAAGTTATAATTAAAAATGTCCAAAACAATAAAACATGACAAAATAATTACTTCGCTTTCAGTCTTAAGGCGTATCCAGTTTCATCGGACACATCTATCCCAACACCCTAGCGTATAACCTTTAATTAATATCCCAAGGACTCCCATCACGACTGGAACGAGACAGACATCCTCTCCCACGGGGTCAGTGGCCTCAGCCTGCACCGAACTGACAGTCTGACCCAGCGGCCTCTTGCCAGTCTCAAGCGGACAGGTAGCAAAGGCAGCGCCTACAGCATCCGCAGCACTAGGAAAGAGATGGCCAAGCCCGCCCATCCAGAGAGACCTGCCATCCCTGACGCAGGCTTTGGGACGTTGGAGATCAAACTTGCCTACGACAACGGGACTTCGTCACTCGCCGTAACAGTCCTCAGGGCTAGAGGTCTAGTTGGAATGGACATGACCGGGCTCTCAGATCCCTTTTGCAGGTTGGAAATTCTACCTAGAGGTGCGTAAACTATGGAAGTCTTCTCGTTTCAAATTTTATTTTATAACCATTTAATTCGTTTTACGATTTCTTCCCGATTTTTCTTTTTCTCGGTTGGTTACTGAAGTGAACTGTTTTATATTTATTTTTTGCCTGTTTTGCGCTATGTGTGTCAAAAAATATTGGTATTTAACTGAATTTGTTGTAGTTACATCTTAAGTTTGCTCAATGTTTACGAGTCGACGATAGATTTGACTTTTAAAGTGCTGACGTTTTGACGTTTAAGTTTCTGATTCAGAACCAGCCCTTGATAATTTTTAAAGGAAAGTGAAATTTAATCTAGTCCTGTTTTTGATTTAAAATAGGTGCATGGGCTATTTATAAGATGCTCACGACTTACCTTTTTAATAAAGGCGATATAACATTTCAGAAGGAACTTATTCCAATAGATTGCGCACGAAGACGGTGCACAAAACGAAAAATCCCGAGTTCAACGAGACATTACACTTTTTCGGCATCACCGAGTCAGATCTTGCCGCGAAATCGTTGGAGATCGTGTTGTTTGACGACGACAGGTGAGACGAGTATTTACGTACAGAGTTTAAACTGCAAATTCTTACTTAACTAATACTGCTAAAGGTTTGCAAATAAATAGCTGTTGCATTTTTAAAGTCGTAAAATTCTATTTTTTTTTATTATTTTTTTTTAAACATCGCCCAACTTTTGGGATAAAATTATCCTGTGAGGACGTTTTTACAAACACAAATTTAACCCGGACAAACACCCAGATGCGGAACAACTATCTGTGGGTCACACAAATAGTTGTCCCGTGTGGGAATCGAACCCACTACCCCCGACGCCGAAGCCGATACCTTGGCGACTGCGCCACGGAGTCATCAATATCAAATCAAAGTGTCAGAAAATAAATCGATAAAAAGTAAGCACTGGCATTCACACTATTATTTTATTTATGTTTATGTATTTTACCATAATCAATACATTGGGTTCTAGTTCAAGGGTAAAAAAAGTTTCTGCAGTGGTCGGGCCACGCAACGGCTTTTGCACCGTTTGCACGAATGGGCAGGCTCGTCCGGGGAAGTACCACGACCTCACAGAAGATCGGCGTGAAGTGGATATATTATATTATATTATAACTTCATGTAACGTGTGATGGCGGAGGTAACTGACGCCCACTTTTATAAAAGATGTCAACGCATCTACAAGCCTTCTTGTATTGTAGATGTCCATGGGCGGCGGTCGCTAATGATCATTGTTGCATAAAAGCTCAAAACTTCGAGTTTGTTGGTTTCTCCAACTCTTTTTTATGAGATGTTCACACACGAGCTGGCTTCACTTCACAAGTTGATAACCGCTAACCATTGGCATTAACAATGCGTGCACGATAGCAGATGCGTTTCAACCGTTTAATGAAATGTACCCCGGTTAGCTCGCTCACCAGACGAAACGCAGAAGTATAACTCACGTGAGGTGTTCCATCTTCTGTAAGGTCGCAGTACTTCCACGGACGAGCTTACCCATTCATGCAACAGAAGTTTGTTGCGTGTACCCAATGATATTATATAGAAATACGAGGTAGATATGACACTAGCGCACCGAAAGTGAGGCGCTAAAATTACGCCAAATGTTCTAAATAGTTTGCAATTCTACAGACTATCACATTCACTTATATTTTTTTATTTATTATTAAACGGTTTCATTTAGCTCGACCCGTACGGAATTTATTTGTTTATTTGGTTCAAAATTAGAAATTGAAATTTAAGCACCTTCCCGTTGTCAGATTGATCTGAAATTTGGTACACACATTTAATTTAGATGACAATACAATATTGTACTTTTCAGTGCACATAAAATAAAACCGTTTAACTTTAAAGTTTTTAAACTGTTTTATTTAATATTTATTTTCTATAGTAATAGCAACACAGAGCAATTATATTTAATTAAGGTCAGTTACAGTAAGCTATCGAGTACACTGTGGCTCCCAAACTAGTCAGTGCCTGTATATTCGAAGCCGGATTGCGCTTCATATAAAACATATAACATAACAAATGAAAATAGGTGGACGGTACTTTAGACAAGTTATATTAAGAATAAATAGTTGTATTCATTATATTAATAATATGTCATGTCATGTAAAGCGGAACAATTTTTAATCGCCGCGTGATGTATAGGTACATGTGTCATCATGTTACATATCAAAACATTTATCATTGTATAAGAGTTCTAACGTTTTTACCTTGATTCTAATATTTTAACTATTACTGAACTTGAATATTAACAACTATTATAACGACAAGGAGCACTAGTGGTTGTATCACTGTCCGGGAACGCAGCCGAAATCCAAGTGACCACTGCTCCATGCGACCATGTGTCCTTTGGCTAGAGTAGATAGCGTCATATCCGGTATACAGTGTTGCCAGCGCCAACATTTGCGGGTAACAAAGTTGAAAGACGCGTCTTCGACCGACTAGGTACGGTTGCGACGAAATGGGCTCCGCCACGGTCTCGCTGAGGGACTGCGCGAAGTTGCCGACGACTCTTAGACTGGCGCTGTCCGGGGCAGCCAGCACCGAGCCGACGGGGCCTAGAGTCCTACTGGCCCTGTGCTACAGCACGAAGCGGCGGGCCCTCGTGGTAACAATATGCCGGGCGGCCGACCTCCCTCCACAGGACAGCAATGGCTACTCCGATCCCTTCGTGAAGCTGTAAGTAATTTCAGTTTGTTTATTATATTTCATTAATTCATTAAACACAGTACGGATGACGGACTTAATGCCATATGGAATGTTAGTGAGAGAAAGAACTGTAGATGCTTTTAGAGCTATCGAGGCTAGGTTAATAAGTTTACATACATTATAAATAAATAAATTATATATATATATAAACGTTCATAACAGATAAAGTTGTAATATATTATATCAAACGTCATCCCTACTACTGATCTTAAGATGGGCTAAAATGTTCCTTAGCTTTCGATTTAAACGCAAATTTATCCTAGCTTCAATCTCAAACGTTTTATTTTTTTTTACTTCATCCCAGGAAGAGATTCTAAATTAAGTTGTTGTTTTTATGTTTGTTCATCCCGGTAGTCCGTTATTTATGAGCTGATTTTATAAATTATTCTTGAATTGGTTTCGGTTCAACTTCGATGTGGTCTTAAATATTAATTTACTTGGTACAGGACGGAAATTAATAATGGAAATAAATAAGGGAACTCTTCAAAATCAAATAGTAAAAATAAATAGAAGTCGGCTTTGTTTTTTGTTAGTAAAAATGTTATTATGTAAAAAGTTAGCAAGCGAGCATCCGGTTCACCTGATGTTATTACTGAGCCGTGGACATCCATGTCCTTTAAAATCTCTAGAATAGTGTGTCCCTGTTTCCTCAAACTATTTAATTTAGTTACGTTTCAAATATTTTGCAACTTTCATTGTGGCCAGATGGGTTTCTTTTAGGAGGCTATTATTGTAACGTGCGTATATATACTACGCAAAAAACAATGGCTGAAGTTCATACAATCCTTGGCCTAAAATATGGAAGGGTATGTACGGAGTATCGCCATCTCGTTCACGCAGCAAGCGAAATCGTTGCCATCATTATATATCGAGGGCAAACTTCTGTGCCACTACACCACGAAGATTCTAACTTAATATATGAAATTCCCCTGTAGACTAATGAGTTCATTATTTACTTATTTTGTATTACCAACAAAATTACATGTACATAAAGTTTAATGAACACAGATTTTATAGCAACAATTTACTCATAATCTCAATTATAGGTAGTCACAGCATTCACAAGAGTATTTGTCGTACTTATCGCATAATCGTATTTAGCTAATTTAAAACAAAATAACGTAAATAAATGTAAAATAGTAAAACATTACAAAAAACAAGAACAAAAAAACCAAGTTAACTTTATTTTTGAGTATACATAACGGAAAGTCAACTCTCTTTCACCGCAGTCGATAGAATTGTCTCTCCTTGAATATTCCTGGTATAGCCTGATTAGGCGAGGCAGGATGGAGTGATGGCCAAGGTTGTTTCTGTACAAATTGGGCTGGAATGAGATACCGCGGTAAATGAGAGGCAGTTTTAGAATATACTTGGCTCAACAATTCTGGGTTATCTATGACCCGTTAATAATTTTGTGCTGGAATATCATGTCATGCAATTTACGTCTGTAGGTGAGCGAGTTTAACTTATAGTTTTTGAGTCGATTAGCATTATAAATGTATATATCTTTACTGTGACTTCACTTATTTATATACTCCGTCGAACCGGCCGCAGCCACCTCGACCCCGACCCGTACCACAAGAAGCACAAGACGTCCATAAAATGGCGCAACCTGAACCCCGTTTGGAACGAGGAGTTCGCCTTCGAGACTCGCCCCACGGAGCTCTCGCGCCAGAACCTCACGCTGACCTTCTGGGACAAGGACTACGGGAAGCCGAACGACTTCCTCGGCAGCCTGGTCCTCGGCGCCGCCAGCAAGGGGCGCAGGCTCAAGCACTGGATGGACTGCATCAAGTTCCCCGACCACAGGCACGAGCTGTGGCACGCGCTGACCGACACCCAGCACCTTTGAGCGGCCCCATATAGGCCCTCGTCTAACACCAATGCAGGATGGTTATTTGGCATATTATCGGCTGCAAGATGGCGGGGCAGGTGAATGACCTCACCCCATCTTAGATCCAATGATATGTAGGATATTGGGATTTACGATCTAAAGTATTCGTTTAACCGATAAAACATATATATCTAATATTACTAGAAGATGGATATCTGATATGTTGTATACTGTAAGATAGGGAGAGAGGGGCGGTGTCGTTAGATTTATGATCTCGCAGCCTCTATTATTATATATTTTATATACAATCTGCTTACAAAAGGGAAAATATGCATATCTTTTTACAGTTTTCCCTTTTGTAAACTATATAATTACTAGCGGACCCAACAGACGTTGTGCTCGCGACTTTAATCCGACAACAAATTAAAAATAAAAAAGAAACAAGAGAATAAAACGAATTGCGAATCTAAACCGTTCTCCAATCGACTGAAGACAGAGTTCAGTGACATACACACGTACAAAAGAATTATATATATAAAGATGGCTGTCGTTTCCTCCGATCTGTCTTAGAAAATTACTTTTTTTTTATTTCTTCGCATCTAGATTTACTTTTTTAGATTTTTTTAAAATATGTATTCAAACACCGTCAAATTTACTTTCGCCGGTTGCAGAGGTGCTGAATAGATAGTCCAACCAATATCTTGGAAACAGACTTTTCGAAGGCGTCTGCGTTGGATAAAGCATCGATTTCAAACTGAAAGCATAATATTTTACATTACATGCTGCATTCTGAAAGCATATTATTTTACATTACATTACCATGTCATCATGGCCCGAATGCGGCATGCAAGAATTTATATGCGATTGCAAACAAACGACACACAAGTTCACACGTGGCATTTCCTTCGTTTTTAACATTAAGTAACTTTTAATTGAGAGTTAAATAGCCCTTATGAAGTCGATAAGACTGAAAACAATATATATAATAACACATTCCGTTTGATAATCAGTTTGGATTTATATTTTCCAGTGAAATAACCCTACTTGCCAAATAACCCTACTTGCCAAAACAAAAGGTTTTTTGTACTTAATTAATATATTTATAATAATATATAGTAGTCACAAACAATTACCTGCGCAAATACAATTATCTATTCCTTATGAAGTACGAACAAAGAAGACCTTCCGGTATTTTCTGTTTCAAAATAATATTTAAGGGCAAATTAGTCAAAATTCAAATAGCTATTTTTGAAGAATACACGTGTTAATATTTAGACTCAAATAGCTATATAAAAATTTTAAAAAATTCAGGTGTTTATTTTTTGGCGCAGTTTCTAAACTGTTGGCTTTGGCGTCGGAGTCGTGGGTTCGATTCCCACGAGGTTTCTGTGACCCATAGATGTTCCGGATCTAGGTGTTTGTTCCCAGGGTAGTTTGACGTCAGCACGCGGCCGGTCGTATTTAACCATTATAATGGTGTTATGTGTCACACATGTTTCGCCGACCCCACCTAGGAGGGATAAACGTAGGAGATAGAAGAACTATAGTCGTTAATTAAATTATAATAAGAAATTATACTATCTAAAAGATATTGTAACTGTATGCAAAATTAATTAATTTAAATATAGAAATGTATCATCGTGCAGTGAAATTAATGTAAATTCAAAGTTTATTTTTTTAATAGATAAATCGTGCTTTAATGAAGTTACGTACACCCCGAAAATAATCATGGGTACTTATGATTTTTATTTTGTAGTCATATTGTTATATAAGAAATATCACACATAAAAAAAAATCAAACAATTTTTTTGGATGACATTAGGTAAGAAAGTTGTCCGCTTTTGGCTCCTGACTGTTTAAAGAAATTTTTTGTATTGTTAAAAGTTCCTTCCATACAAAAATGCTGGTATGAAGTTTGTTACAAAAGATACATTGTTTTATATTTGATTGTTAATGTGTTATTGGATATATATGAAATCGACAAGCTACTTATTATTGTTGTAGTTCAATAGTTTATATTGTAAGCAACTGTTCAAAATTAATGTAACTTTTTATAATAGATATTTGATTGTATTTTTGTAAAATAGTTTTATACACCTACATAATATATTTAAAACGTTCCGAACGTGCCAACATGTTAAGTATAAGGATGTACCTAATGTTAAAAATATCTTGTATTTTCGCGTATTGAAATGTTGAAATTTCGACGAAAGCCTGCTTGTATCAAATAATATTATCCCCAATAAAAGAGAATTATAGTTTTTTTCACAAACGATCGTATTTTCTTTTGCACTTTTACCTTTTTTATTAGAGTAGGTGACCTATTGACAAACGATTCACCTGAAGCGAAGTAAAACACCAGGGAGAATCGTTGCTAAATTAAACATGAGACATGTATTTTAGAACGGCCTTCAGTGCATCTCGTCCGCCCTATAGCAAAAGCTATTACCTATGGTACCTATTAATGTTTTCATGTAAAAAAAGGTAATTAACAGCCTATACATGTCCCACTGCTGGGCAAAGGCCTCTTCTATACAGAGGGTATCAGAGCATAGTCCACCACGCGGCACCACTGCGGATTGGCGGACTTCACATATCTTCGAAATATATTTTTTTGTTATTATTTCGAAAATATGCAGTTTTCCTCACGTTGTTTTCCTTCACCGCGGAGCAGCACGTGATAAGTCAGCACTTAAAGTTAAACACTTCATTGGTGCCGGCACCGGGGATCGAACTCAGGTTGCTCGAGTATATTGAATTAAAGGCGAGCGCCCGGACACTGAGCTATCACGGCTCGTGATAGCTCAGTGTCCGGTATTTTTTCATGAGAATAGTTGTATTGTCGATTGAGCAGATTCTTCACTTGATCGGTTAATACCGCCGCCCTAAGACAACTACGCCGCCTGCCGGCTTAGAGATGTGTTAATAACCTAACATTCCCCATTCATGGAACAGCAGAAATTGTTGCGGGCAAAAGTATTTATAAATAACTAGCGACCCACCCGGGCCGCGCACGGGTGCAATGTATTATACATATAAACCTTCCTCTAGAATCATTATATCTAGTACAAAAAACCGAATCAAGATCCGTTGCGTAGTTTTTAAGATCTAAGCATACATAGACAGACAGACAATTTTGAAGACAGACTACTTTGTTTTATACTATGTATAGGGATGTTCTATACACAGACATATGAAAATGAAAAAAGGCGACCAAAAAACGATCATTTATATAAACGACACTAAAAATGTCGAATTATAATAATAATAAGTTTATTTCCTTTTAGTTATACAATTTTGACCTTAGTGCTAATACATAATAATGTTACAAATGACTACAATAGATTAATAGCATCCGTCGCCGAACTAGGTTTTGAGAACCTGTATAATATTAGTAAGTAATAAGAAAATTAATACCACAATTTACAATAATTGTAATTTGCAAATATTAATTCTTTCAAATTATATGTTAATCGTTATTAAGATATCATATAACAGAAGTAACATGTTATACACAGAAAGGGAGAGAACATCGTAACGTAATATTCAAGACCACCTTTTATTAGACCTACGTACTTTAAATGCATGGTCAAAACTTTGTGTTTAAATCACGGGTACGAATATACTATAGAGAGTGCGGAAATTCACTCGCATGAGCCGTATTTTTGTCATACATATCGATGTTATTTTGAATTCTGTCGTGTTGTACGTACGGTAAGTCAAATTAAGTAAATGAAGTATCCAATAGATGGACTGTAATTTTATTTTAAACAATTCAATATTTTTTCCGTGGTTAGGTATTTAATTCCGTTTGTTAATTGATCCACCTACGGGTTATCATTAGTATTAACATGCAAGCGATGAACTGTAATGTACGTGCAACTGATACGTTTCCTGAATTTTTATCTTTTTTATTTTTGTAGGTACCATGTTTATCCACGGTTACACGGTGGAATGTAAATCACAAAGAGGCTTCAACATTTCGAATAAAACCTTTGTCGGAAGATATTTGGGCTTGAAAAAATAAGTCGGCACGTCAGTAATGTCTGAAATCTGATCACGGTTTTTATTCTGGTTCAGATATTTTTCTGTTTTTTTTTTTTTTCAATTTGCTGATCTTGCTCTTTCTTAAAGATGTATATTCATGATACGAATAAATATATAGACCCAATTTTCATCGAAATATAACCAAAGTTATTTACCTATTTTACAGATTGTGATTGGGTTTATATTCAATTATCGGCAAACAAGAAGCATGCAACTCTTGTTCAGAACTCAATTAAGGCTCCTATCATGTTAGGGAATAATTATAGGTACTCTGTTCCCGTTGTCAATAAAAAGATATTTCAATAAATAATACGGTATTTTCAACTTATATTTTTCATGACTTATATTTTTCATTCTCAAGACATAATAATGTTCATGATATAAATACTAGGAACAAAAATAAATTTATCCTACCCACAAGTAGACTGCGTAAAATAAGTAAATCTTTTATGAGACAATGCATACGTAACTACAACAAAATCCCGAAAACGTTAAAAATGCATCAATAGCTAAATTTAAAAAAATAGTAAAAGAACGTTTGTTTGTTAAAGGCTACTATAATATTAATGATTATTTAAATGATAACACACTCTGGTAATGAACTGATCGCTCCAGGCTCTTTCAATCAGAGTCCTTATATTGCATTTTTAATGAATTCATGTCAAACTGGTTACATAAAAAAAAATTAAAAAAAAAAAAGTTTCTTTCGCCGGTTCTTCTCAGTGGCTTTCTTTTCCGAACCGATGGCAGTGTTTTGACTATCAATAAGCTCCTATGCTGAATAAAGACATTTGACTTTGATTTTGATTTTGACATGTATTTTAACCATTTAATATCCGTTGTTGCAGTAGTGTCATCTATAAGCTTTATTTTTCACATGAATGTTATTTGGCTGTAAATGTCTCTAGTGCGACCCCTGTATACTCTATAAATATAAACGTCCTCTTTATTAATGGTTGCTATATAAA